GTTATAGTAGTAATTTAGAAATGCTCTGTGTGAAAAGCTAGCGTTTGGATTCACCGTAACCCAAGAAACGCCTAAAAGCACAAAACAGAGTCATAAATATTCACAAGATAACCACTATATCTAATATCTTTAGTACCTCACAACTCCAAGCTTGGCTAAACAAGGATGCCAGGCGGATTGAAATCCTTGAAAAAGAAAGTAGCTCACTGACAGCAACAAAGCTGTGTGTCAATAAAATTTAAAATGTAAGAATTGAGTGTCTGGAAGATTTATTAGGAGGTTAAAATACTTCTGATGTTCTTGTCAAACAATTTAAGATTGTACTATTCAGTAGCATGATCAGAACCAAAGTTCAAATCAACGTCATCAAATATTGTGTACATATTGTAACTAAATGTTTTCAATGAGATGGGTAATATCGCTGACTATACTTTTTCTCCCACCCGGCGAATCGTACCAGTGTTTTCGCATGATACAATAACATGTACAGCTGTATTCACAAAAATACAGAAGGTTACATTGGACAGTATGAGGGCAAAGATTGATGAATACATGATGTGGCTTATAAAGGAGAGGACGGAAGCTAATCGGTTGAATGAACTGGTTAGTAGTCTAATTGATCTGCCGAATGTTTGCAATGCAATGAGTGACCATGAGAGGTGTGTAGTGTTATGATGTGGAAATGTATACAATGTTATTCATTAATAATGACACTTGCAAAATTGGTCCACGTTCAAAAAGTAATTTTTCAGCGGTGTTCAAACGATTATCCCCGATAAAATCATTTTTTTGATAATATGTATATTTTATGTGTATATCGGCACTTCGACATATACAAATGTTTGCACAAGTTAGTACTATTAAAACAGATTTACCCAGATTTTTGTTGTACAAGTAACTCCACGTCTATCTATGGACATTTTTGTGGTCAGCCAAGTATGCTAAATTTGATATATTTTTCTTACAAGTCTTCGGGGTCTTCGTGAACATATTTCGATTTGAAACATTGTCATATTATGTGTCAATGTCACATTCTGTCAATGTACATTTCAATTAAATGGCTTTGTTTTCGCTAATTTCAGTTCTACTCACAGTATGTAACTTTAAGTGCAAATATCATTGCTCTGGTCATTCAGTTTAACAGGGTTATTCTCATTTGCTAACCCCCGTACTCCATGGGCAACCTAACATGGTGTATTCGTTTTTGAATCGAAAATAAATGATCTTGACAATGAAATAATTGATTGCGTAATATATTCTATAGGCACACATAATTACTGATTATACTTGTATATTAATGATAAATTTGCTCTATATGTTGTGCTTTTGCTTTCATTTGTTTTGAATAACCATGATTTGAATTTTAAAATGTTGTATCTTCCACTAAAAAAACACAATGGCAAAAGGTTTTAATGACGGTGTTGTGTAGTATATTTGTCAATGTCAAGAACACAGGCTGTCAGAAACCATATATTAAAACTATAATTCGTTTTTTTTTCATGTAACTATGCACTTTATTCTAAACAACTATAAGCACTTGTTTGTTTAACCTTCCTGTCAATTTAGTTAGAAAGGTTATGACATAAAACGACAAACTAACACCACCCAGGTGTCCAAAAACCACCAAAATTAGACGGGTTTCCTCTCTCATCCCCGTCATCTGGGAACCAATACGGAGACGCGCTTGCTCTATACTCATCAAGGCGCTGCTTCATTTCATTGATAATATCTTGTTTGTAAGGATCATTGAATAAATTAATAGTTTCCAGTGGATCCTCTGCGAAAAAAATAGTCAAATTAAACTTAAAGTTATTCATATGTATGTCTAACATCAATTTGGTTGTTTTCAAATTACCGTGTTTGTGAGTGATTGCTTGTTATTGTTTCAAACAATTACCTTTTATGTTGAACAAATATCTATTGTTTACGTTATCCGTTACAAGTGGTGCATCAGGTACTGGGGCATTGGGATTTTCTGCTGGTGTATACCACTTATCTGTGTGGATTAACAAAATACACTCTATTGGTATATACGTCACTTTAAACAATACAGCGTGAGCTTAAGTACTATGTACATTAGGACCCCTAGATTTCACAAACTAGTCAGTTTATTTATTTTTATTGTTTTATTCTAGAAGTAAGTAAGAGCCTATTTGATTGTCATTAGGCTTTTCGAAGACTACGGTACACGTATTTCTAATATATTATTTGCGAGATTCAGGGAAAAGTACATGACATAGACATGGACAATATAGTATATGATTACCTGTTTGAGTATTTATTCTACTCGCACCTGCTACCGTAATACCTTCCATGTATTTATAGTCTCCCATTCTGAAAGTAAAGTCAGTGTTGCAATGTTTGTTCTCACATGCATGAAACCTGCGAATCACTAATATTTATTTGCTAACATGCAAAATACAACAGGGCATACATTTGGAAAAAATAGTTTTTACCATTTTCTTGAAAACAGCTAGCAATCGTGTTTAAATTTTTATTTATTTGAGGAAGCATTATGCTCAATAGCGCAATAGACATATTGAAGTTTCCTTGAGACGTGAAATAATATAAGGTTATTACGAGAATA